GTTGATTAGGGTGGGAACAGTCGAGGAGTAGGGGAAAGAGGGTGAAACCACTATTTCCACACCTTCCTTATATTCTTGCTATGTCTGGGGGGAGTGGGGGGGCAGAGGGAAACGAGGGGAGAAGCCACACCCAGCCTCCCAACCGTCCCAGGGATGGGAGCAGAGGCACCGAGGTGCATGTGGGAGCCCATTTTATGCCCTGAGGGTGGGTATTCGGGAGTGCGAGGCCATGAAGGATTGATGGGTAGCGCCATGGGCAGGCCCTGAGGGATTGCTGGATAGATTATTAGGGCCTCAGGAGCTTGTAGGTACAGCGGTGGGGGAGGATTAGGAGAAGGGGCCACAAGGGACCGGTGGATGGGGCTGTGGCGCACAGTAGCATGGGATTTCTGCAGATTGGTGGCAACTAGGTTACAAGGTTACAGCAGACTGGCAATATGAGTCAATAGGAGCCATGAGGAGGATTGAGACCCAAGGAAAGCATGTATCCAAGGTGGTGCCAGGTCCAATATTTAAGTCACTCTATAGTTTCACTTCTTACATTTTTTTTCTTGTCACTGATTTTATTTTTTTTCTGTATTTTTGAGCTCTATTTGGTTTTTCAAAACCATTTTTTGGTAGGAAGAGAACAAATTTCACTGTTGCACAGTGCAAATTTGGGAGCATAGTGGTACTCCCTAGCCCACACCTCCTCCCGCCTGTGTCCATCGTCCACCGTCTTCCTTTTTAATTTTTTAAAATTTTATAATGGCATACTTTCAATTCATGTCACAATCACAGGCTTAACACCCCATCAGGTAAAGAATTCATGAAATAGCATGTAGAAAAAAAAACTGGTCCTGGAGAGTATAGAGAGAAGCTATAAGCAATAATCAAATCTCATGTCAGTTTTTCTCATACAGTTTGTTTTTGTTCTCTGAGTATTAATTACCAATTTTTAGGGGAAACATTATCTTTTTAAGACTTGCTTATTTTAGCAAAATAATGGTTTCCAGTTGCATCCAGATAGTTATAAAACACAGGATATCATTCTTTTTGTGGCTTAGTCATATTCTATAATATATGAACTATATATTTTTTCTTCATCCAATTACTAGTCAGTGGGCATCTGTGTTGACTCCGCATCTTAGCTACTGTAAACGGAGCTTCTATAAATGTGGGCATATAGATAACTCTCATATGTTGATTTCATTTAGCTTGGGAAAATTCCCGGGAGTGAGTTGGCTGGGACATATTATAGATCTATTTCAAGATTTCTAGGTGAGTGAATCAGTGGACAGAAGATTTTCCTTTCTGTTTCTCTTCCTCTCTGTATATCTGACTTTTCAGTAAAAATAACTAAATGTTTTTAAAAAAAGATTTCTAATGAATAATCATATTGTGTTCCTTAATGGTTGTATTAATTTACAATCACAGCAACAGTGTTAGGGTAACCTTTCTCCTCACATCCTCCTATCTATCTATCAATCTATCGATCTATGATGAGCATTCTAACTGAAACGAAATGAAACATCATTATATTATAGTTTTTATTTGGCTTCCCCGATGGCTAGCATCCAGAGACGTTTATATACCTGTTACCTTTTTTTTTTTAAGAGATTGATTTATATTCATTGGAAAGTCAGATATACAGAAAGATCTTCCATCTGATGATTTACTCCCCCAGTGGTCGCAATGGCCAGAGCTGAGCCGACCTGAAACCATGAGCCCTGAGCTTCTTTTGGGTCTCCCATGCAGATGCAGGGTCCCAAGGCTTTGAGCCGTCCTCAACTGCTTTTTCAGGTCACAAACAGGGAGCTGGAAAGGAAATGGAGCCACAGGGATATGAATCAGCACCCATATGGGATCCTGGCACTTGCAAGGCGAGGACTTTAGCCACTAGGCTGCCGTGCTGGGGCCGTCCGTTGGGTATTTTAATTTCACCCTTTGAAAAACTGCCTGCTCATTTCCTTTTCCCGTTTTCCTTTTTTTTTTTTAAAGATTAATTTATTTTTATTTGATAAGCAGATGGACAGAGTGAAGGAGAGACATAGAGAGATCCTCCATCTGTTGATTTACTTCACAAATGGTCGCAAGAACTGGAGTTTGCTGGTCCAAAGCCAGAAGCCTGGAGCTTCTTCCAGGTCTCCCATGTGGGTGCAGGAGACCAAGAACTTGGGCCATCCTCCACTGCTTTCCCAGGCCATAAACGGGGAACTGGAAGGGTAGTGGAGCAATCGGGACTGGAACCAGAGCCTATATAGGACGCCTGCACTGCAGAGGCTTAAGCTAGTATGCCACAGTCCCAGCCCTGTGCAGTTCTTAACCGATGTGGAGAACGCATTTGAAAAGAAAAGCATGATAAAAACCTTAAGTAAATCGGGTATAGAATGAGCATTCCTTAATACAATAAAATCAATTTGCTACAAACTGACTGCGAAACATTCCCACTAAGATTAAGAATCAGACAAGTTATGGGAAGCTTTTAAAGAATGGAAACCACCTCCATATTTTAAAATCAAAATATAGATCAAGGATGGATGTTTGACCTAATGATTGAGACACCATCATCTCAGAATAACTCAATCTTCAGCTTCTGACCCTAAGGTCCTGCCAGTGCAGACGTGGGAAGGCAGCCTTGGCGACTCTGATAATTATGTCCCTAACATCACTTGGGAGACTTGAATTGAATTCCTGGCTCTTGGAATTGCTGGCCCAGTCCTGACATTTTTGTGATTTGTGAAGCAAACCAACAAGTCAATGTCCTTGCTTCCTAAATAATAAAACATTTAGAAAAGGTATTATTGCAGCAGCTGGTAAGGAGGTTGGCTAATTTGAGGGCGTGGAAAAGAGACCAGTAGCAGCAAGCAGCCTACAGATTTTTATAACAGAGTTGATTAAAGGCGCAACTTGGCTGAAGAAGCCAGGGAAGAGGGGTTGGAAAGCTATCTTCAGCGAACAGCACGTACGGATTACATTGACTGTCGCAGGAGGTGCGAGGACTGATGGGGAGTATTTCACCCGCTCTGAAAACCTTTCGACCTATCAGTATAGGAAAATCACTCCGGTTAAGTTTTGCAATTATTTGGACTTGAGAACGTAACACTAGGAACAAAAACTGCAGCAGTAAGTACAAGGAGAAGCAGATAGACTGGAGAAGAGAGCCGGATCAGGACTTTGTAAACTCGTATGGAGGGTGGTGAATCTAAAGTTACATCTTAGTTTGCGACGGAAGAACTTTCCCAGTAGTGTAGGAAGTTATTGGAACATAGCTGAGTAGGGAAGGAGGCAAGACATTGATGAGCAATACAACTGAAGAAAGGATAGTTAAAGCAGAATTAAGTCCTGCCCCCCCCCCGTGGGAATGGCAGGTGTGGAGAGAAATGGTTTTTCAGGATGGTCCTCCTTCATGTGTGTGTGTCTATCACTTCCCAGATGGCCACGAAAGCCATTATAATGTGTAACACATAATGCATTTCTTATATATAGTTATGGGATTCATATTAAACTTATATATGGTACAGAAAAGTTTAAGACAAATTGTATTAACCCCGACCCCTGTAACCCTTTCTAGAAGACACCTTTCAAAGCCATAGGGAGTTCTTACTGGTGGTCACCGTATGCAAATACAGCACACATACACCAGTGGACCGCCCTTCAGTTACCCGTTGTAGACTTTATTTACTTTTATTTTAAAGATTTATTTATTTATTTATTCAGTTACATATTTCTATCAGAAAGGCAGGTTTTCAGAGAGAAGGAGACTCAGAGGGAAAGGTATCTCCCATCTGCTGGCTATTCCTCACGTGGCCGCCAAGGCCAGAGCTGCACAGATCCAAAGCCAGGAGCCAGGAGCTTTTTCCAGGTCTCCCATGGGAGTGGGCCCAAAAACTTAGGACATGCTGTGCTGCTTTCCTAGCGCATAAGCTGGGAACTGGATCGGAAATGGAGCAGCCAGAACATGAAGTAGTTCGCATCCAGGATGCTGGCGCCACGGAGGATTGGCCGGTGAGCCACTGCGCTGGCCCTATTTACTTTTTTTTTTTTTTAAGATTTATTTATTTTTATTGCAAAGTCAGATGTACAGAGAGGAGGAGAGACAGAGAGAAAGCTCTTCCATCCGATAATTCACTCCACAAGTGACTGCAATGGCCAGTGCTGCGCTGATCCGAAGCCAGGAGCCAGGAGCCTCTTCTGGGTCTTCCACATGGGTGCAGGGTCCCAAGGCTTTGGGCCGTCCTCGACTGCTTTCCCAGGCCACAGGCAGGGAGCTGGATGGGAAGTGGGGCTGCCGGGATTAGAACTGGCGCCTACATGCGATCCTGGCACGTTCAAAGCGAGAACTTTAGCTGCTAGGCCACGGCACCAGGCCCACCTATTTACTTCTTGTTGTGGTAAATAAGAATGTATTTCTCACATTATTTTAAATAGATATATGTGCTAAAATCTTAAATGAGTCCTTGGTCCTTGCAAGAAGGATAATTCTGAGCAGTTATTACCTGAAAGACACGGTAATAAGCGATTTGGGCGTATTAATTCGTTTAATTACAAATTCAGCTACAGGGACTAACAATAAAAATACAGGAAGATAAAGACTGCTTGGCGTTCCCCAGCAAAAATCATTATGAGTGAACAACAGTAGAATCCAGTAAACAACAGTAAAACCCAGTAGCTTGAAGGAGCCGAAATCGCAATCGTCTCCTTTAATTCTCTGGCTGACAGACGGCCGGCCAAAGGGCAGGGAGGGACCAGAGGGTCCCACATTCTAACCCTGGGCTGGCTCTCCGCTTCGTACAAGAGAAGCGGGGGAGATGAGATGAGCGGGGCCAAGTCACGTGATGCCTTCAGACACTCTGGCTATCCCTCCACAGTCTCTATGGTATTCTTTCCAGTCCACCCGCCCCTTGGGTAGCGGCAGTCACGTGATAGGCTCCGGGTTTACGGCAGGTGCACACGTGATGCAGGCCCGCAGTCTGGCGGCTGCGGTGAGATACCTGGGCTCCTGAAGGGCGGGCACAGATGATAACCGCCGGCGGCGGCGGCGGATTCCCGGTCGGCCAGGCAGGGAGCCAGGAGCCGGCCGACAGCTTAACGCCTAAGGCACTGCTCGGCTCCTTCGACTTTGTCCGCCCTCCGCGGTCTCTACCTTTTTGCGGTGAAGTTACCTTTGGGTTTCTAGACCTTGGGGTCTGAGGCCCAGACTTGGGGTGAACTTCTAACCCACCTCTCGTTTTTTCCCTTAATCGTCTTTTGTGCTGCTCAGGTTTTTCGCCTTTGAGCTGGTTTGCTAGGCCGTGCTTTGAAGCCAGCTCTGAACGGTAAAGGTAACTGTGGGGAAAGCGGCCCCCCAGTGGACATAGACGGAGGCAGGAACCTCCGTTAATTAGACTAGGCAGATAAGGGGGGGGCTGAGCAAAGGGGCCAAAAACAATACTGCGGATTTAGAAGGCACTGGAAAGAACTTGTTGCAAGATGGAAGAATCTGACTCTGAGAAAACGATGGAGAAAGAAAATTTGGGGTCAAGAATGGATCCTCAACTAGGGGAACCGGAAGGATCTCTAGGGTGGGTGAAGATATTATTAGCAAGCCTTAAAGGGAGGGTGTTTTAACTAATGAGAGCTTTATGAATTAGACTATCCCCCTCTCCCCATCAAAGATAAGTTGCTTCAACTTCCCAGTAATATTGACTGGCATCATGCTTTTGACCAAGGGATGAGCTGAAAAGCGGATTGATGCTAACTGGGCAAACCACCCTTGGGACAGGACTGGCAGCATTCTTGCATGTATATATGTGGTGGGTGGAGGACGGGTAGTGGGGAGAGGATGGCGGTGGTGGCATTATAAATGAAGAGGCAGTTCGGAGTTATGAATGATCAGTAATGGGTATTTGATATCACCCTGTTGACGAAAAGATGGCTAGTTCAGAAGCCAGTGGCCGAAGTGTTTTCTGTGTCAGATTTGTACCTGAATCTGAGGTTTGTATGTACGTGTTTTGTGTCTTTGATGAGTAAAATGGAGTTTGGAAGGACAACCAAAGAAGTGAAGATAATTCCAGATTTTAAACATGTAAACGTCATTAAAAAATAGGAGGCTGATTTTTGTTTGTTGCTAACACATGTGAAGTTTACAATATCAGTTGATTTATTAATCTCTGTATATGCTGCTTTGATTACTTTTAAAATGAAAAAATCAATGTTAAATTTTTCATCACTGATTTGTATTCCTAAGTAAATCAAGCTGGAGTTACTTCGTGGTGTTTTTATCAGAGGCCGCGGAGTGTGAACACAGCTTTGTGTTTAGGAAAACGAGGACCTCCTCTGAACCTAAGTCTGAAATAGAGCTGTGCTCAGCTGTTTGCTAAATAGTCTCCTTTGAGACTCCATATTTATTTGTATGTCTTTAATTTCCGTTTCTAAGGTAATTAACTATATCATGAAATTTCTGTCTTTTGGTTTATATCTGCAGGTGGGCGCTACCAAACACAGTCATGAAGAAAAAGGTAAGATGTGATAGGGACCGCAGAAGCATGAAGGCGAAGGGCACAAGTTGCTCTTGAGGCACTCCGTGCTGTATAAATGCAGCCTTTCCCGGATTATTGCAGCACCCTTCCACGAGCTTCCCCGTCATAGCTGTCTTGCTTCTCAAATGTGCTTTTTCTAGTTAATGAATTTGGGTTGCTCATGTATTTAATGGCATATGCTATCTTATAAAAATCTATTCTTGATTAAGCCATCCATCATACCTATCACCGTGTCAGTCATACAGAATTTGTTCTCCATATTTACAAATTGATCGGCATGTTGTGAAAGTCATGCACGCATAGGCATCGCCTACACTTTCACTCTTAGCTCAGCTCAGATATTGCCATTATAAGGTTTTACATGATTTCTGTAGAAGGAATTTTAAACTGCTTGTTTTGCTTGTTTTTTTTTTTTTTCGGGAGTTAATAGTACATTAGATTCTTAGGGCCGCAGCAAATGAATACAACATAATTCTCATGTTCATGTGGTATTAATACAAAGAGAACAGATTCAATATAGCTGATAGATAACAGTTTTAAGAATACAATGATACATCCTCCCCTCCTCTCTCCCTCTCTCCTTCGTTTTTCCCTTCCCTTCTCTTTTTTTTCTCTTTCATTTTTAATTTTTAAGATAACATCTTTACATTACAGTCAAAGGCTTAACGCCACTAGAGTTCAACAAGAAAAAAGATTAAACATGAGTCAAATGAAAAGATGAATTCATACAGTATAGTTTAAAATAATATCATTATAGCTACAGTAGCAAATCATAGGTTTTACAAAGATGTGAAACATTGTTTGAGAAGCCATATTTATAGCAAAGTGATATAGATATCCATTTCTTTCTCCCCCCCCTTTTAAATTTTAGCTCCCACGTGTAAGTGAGAGTATGTAACATTTGTCTTTCTCTAACCCTCCTTTTGTGCTCTTATGTTGGCATATCTTACCCTGGGGTTTTAGACAGAATCACCAAGAAACAAAATGGTGATGTTACTGATCTCTTAGGGCTGTTGTAGAATTTAAATGAGTAAATGACTGTGAAGCTGGGATCAATAAGCCTTTCATTAAGCAATTGAAATCTTGATAGTAAAATGTATAGTTCTATCATAAACTCGTCTAATCACTTAGTTCTGTAATTCCAGTTTGCTAATGGAACATTCTTGATGTGTCTGTCTTGTGGATCTCTTTGAATTTTGGGACGCAGGGGCACTGTTACATGAAAAAGACACAGGGGACCAAGGATCAGGAATCCAAGGCAAGAAGTTTATTGTAAGCTTTCCTTATATCCATTCTATCTGGATCTCTAAGCAGCATTCAGTAACAGACAATCCTGGGATTATTTTGGTTGCAAGAACACCCTGTCTTCTAGTTAGTGAGATATAGTTAATGTGATACATAGTTATAAACATCCAAGGCAGTATCCCTAAAGCACTTGTCAGTTCTCTTGGACTTGCACTCTTTTTTTTTCCCTGGGTCATTAGGCTACAGTTGTTTGTCGAGGACTAAAAGCAAGCCTAAGTGCTGAGTGAGCCAGTGAGGCGTGAGGCACAGCCTGTTACCTAGGCAATTTCTGGGGGCCCTCGTGGGGACTTGCCTCCTGGCCTTCCCAAAGACCAAAGTTCACAGCCTGGTTATCAGGTTTCAGCACACCCTGCTCCAAGTTCCTCATGGCTACACTGCTTGAGTTTATGTGAACATGGATGCCTAAAAATACCAAAACTTTCTATATGAATAGCAATAAAAATGAATGATTCCCCAGTGTATTCATATATCAAAATATCACACTATATATAATACAATTATTTTTCAATTAAAAATTTAAAGGCCAAAACTTCTGGAGCAGCTTTAGGTTAGCTTGTCAGTTGCATTTCCTTAGTGGTAAAAAGTTGCTGGATGACATCAAGGCTGAGTGTAGTAATTTTTATGAATATTCCTTGTACTTGCAATCAGAAGTTTTGATAAAATATCTTACAGTTAAGGGTATAAGATGTATCCCATTCATCCTGGCCCCTGGCATTGGCCTGGACAAACCCTGGCTGTTGTCGGCATCTGATAGTGAACTAACTGATAAAAGATTGATACCCCCCCACTCCTTTTCTCCTTATAAGAGAAATTAATCTTTTTTGTTCCTATGTTTTTAATTTATATTTGTTTTAAAGATTTATTTTTTATTAGAAAGTCAGATATACAGAGAGAAGGAGAGATAAAGAAAAAGATCTTCCATCCAATGATTCACTCCCCAGGTGGCCCCGATGGCCAGAGCTGAGCTGATCAGGAGCTTCCCCCAGGTCTCCCACGCAGGTGCAGGGTCCCAAGGCTTTGGGCTGTCCTCGACTGCTTTCCCAGGCCACAGGCAGGGAGTTGGATGGGAAGTGGAGCTGCCAGGATTAGAACTGGCGCCAGTTTGGGATTCCATTGCATGCAAGGTGAGAACTTTAGCTACTAGGCTGCTGTGCTAGGCCCTCACATATATTTTTTTTTTCTCTTAAATACTACCATTGAGAAGATGGTCACCATCTTATTTCTATTGAATAATTTTCATTGTAAAAAAAACTCTGGATTTTGTTTTGATAGCTTGTTCATTCCTTTGATGAATATATTTCGATTGTTAGTTTAAACACAGAGAAGACTGCCTGCTCTTCAAGGAGTTGGAGTCTTATGAAAAACAAGCCCCTGAAATCAATTATGTGTAGTGCATTATGGTCTTTAAGTGGTATAGAATGTCATGAGAGGACAGGCATCTCCAGCAGCCTTGGGCTTCCGGGGCTGAGAGGCTCCCTCTTAAAACTTATTTATTTGAAAGGCGCAGAGGCAGAAAGAGACAGATATACACACACGGAGAGAAGAGAGATCTGCCATTATTTGCTTCATTCCCCAAATGCCTTACCTGCCTGGGCGAGGCCAGGTCAGAGCCGGAAACTGGAAACTGCTTCTCCCCCCGTGAGTAGCAGCAATGAACTGCTTGAGGTATGCCTGCCTGTCACCCAGGATGCACACCAGTGGGACAGTCAAATCTGATCTGCGGTGGGGACCAGGTCAAATGCCCACCACAGAGAAGCTCCTGGAAGGGGCGGTTACAGAACCAGGTGTTGAAGATTAAGTAGAAAATATCTGAAGATAACACAGCATGGAGACTGTCATAGAGGCACGACTCCCTGGAAGCCCGAGAGCCGTCAGAGTCTACAGGCAGTTTAGTTGATGCTAAATGTTCCAGGCCTTGCGGGACAGGAGATCAGCGCAAAGAAATAGATGTGCTAGTCGGAAGAGGGCTTATATGTCGCGTAAGCACTTGATCCTGTAGGCCTTAGGAGGCTTTGAAAAAGGACAAGGGGCGAGACAATAGTCAGTGGAATACAGTTAGGGAGGCAGTTAGGGAGGTAGGTGGAAAGAATAGACCTAAGGGCACAGGTTGAAGGTTTACCTTGAGCAACAGGAAGAACTTTCAGGTGTACTGAAATTGTCTGCTAGGTAGGTCAGGGCTTAAAATGTTAAATTATGAGAAAACAGGATTTAACAGCATTTAGTTTCCTTCTCAAAATGGCATGTTTCATCAGTCATATATACACACACGTAAGATTTATTTCTTTTATATTTGAAAACAGATCCACAGAGAGAAGGAGAGACAGCGAGGGAAAAGATCCTCCTTCCACTGGTTCACTCCCCAAATGGCCACAACAGCCAGAGCTGAGCCGCCCTGAAGCCAAGAGCCAGGGATTTTTTTTCTGGGTCTCGCGTATGGGTACAGGGTCCCAAGGACCTGGACCATCTTCCACTGCTTTCCCAGGTCACAATCATGGAACTTGATTGGAAGTGGAGCAGCTAGGACATGAACCGTCACCTATTTGGGATGCTGGTACCTGGAGGTGAAGAATTAGCCTTTTAAACCATAGTGTTGGCCCCCAGTTCTAAATATATTATAGTGCATATTAGTAATGTAACAAATTCATTGTAGTTCCATTGCCAAGAGAATCATAGTTTCTGATTAGGTATGTACCTGGTACCTGGAAATGCTATGTGCAACAGTCTTGTTGATTGCAAGTATTTACACTAGATTTTGATACTGTGATTTCAGTAAAATATCAAATGCAAGAGAGAAATGGGTGCCTTTAGACTGTATTGGTAACTTTTTTTCTTCTGTTTTTCCGTTTTGCCCTTAGGTGCTGTTGATGGGTAAAAGCGGGTCTGGTAAGACCAGCATGAGATCTATTATCTTTGCAAATTATATTGCCAGAGACACACGTCGCCTTGGTGCAACAAGTAAGATGTTTTAGCTTTTTGTAAAGTCAGGTGATCTTAACTATTAATCTGCATAACACACTTTGTTGGCTTGGGAATGCCGGAGGTTTGGGGAACTTGTTTTGAAGCATGTCTCTCATTTTTTGCATTTCTGCTTGAGAGTTGTCACCTAATTCTGGTTACTACTGCTCACTCTTAAAAAGATGCTTTCTTTTCTAGGTTGCTTACAAATTAAAATGCCTTTGTCCAACTTCTTGTGTATCCCAGTACTTCTTGAACATGCATAGGGGCCCTCGTGGTTGTTTTGGGTGAGGAGAGTGTTTGTTTTAAACTATTATTGTACAAAGGCAAATTCGTAGTTATTAACAAGCATAAAAATAAAATATCTTAACAGGTTTTTGTTTTCTTTCCTTTTTTTTTTTTTTGAAGCATTTATTTATCCTTGTCCTCAGCAAGAGTAGACCGTGGGTGTGGAAAAGAGGAAAGTACATCTGATATTTATTCTACTTTTCTTCCTGGATCTCCACTGATACTGTCCTGGAACTCTGGATTAGGAGATGCAGCAGTGCCCTTTAATGTTTGAATGTTAGCCCATTCACTAAGGCTGCCGTGGCTGGCAGGACCTTCAGTCTGTGGTCCTAGTAGAACCCTTCCATTTCTGGGCTGCAATGCCATTTTGTCATATAGCATCCAAACATTTCTAGATTCTCTACTGGTCTCTGGCTTCTAGAAGAAAGTATCACCCTACCCGATCTTTAAATATTTCTAATCTGGGTTTCTCTCTCTCTCTCTCTCTTTTTTTTTTTTTTTTTACTCTTCTAGGGACAAGTCAACCACTACTTTATAAGGTATCTCATTCTGGTTCGAAAAAGAAACAAACAAAAAAAACATATTTTACAATTGTATTGGATTTCAGACCCTAGGATACAGAGGAGAAGGGCACCTCATTTTTGTTGTCATAGTGCTTGAAGTGTGGTATAGACTCTCATAATTTGGGCATTAGACAGACTCCTTAGGAAGACCCCTGCACTATTTTCTCTTCATTTTTTGAGCTACTCTTTTTGTTCTCTGGAACCTCTACCAAGTATTTAAAGATGGAGAGCATTTAAATTTATCCAGACCCATCCCTTGCCTTCTAAATCAAACATCTCTGGTTCTCCTACCTACTCCTAATTTGATATAGTTCTGAAGCATCTTTATGGATTTGTTCCAATGTGTCTACATTTTTCTTCAGGCTTTGAGATTCAATTGAAGGTGCAGTGAGATATAGAGTAGACCTACTGCATCTCTTATAGATATTGTGATAAGTCTCTGTGATATGTATCTCACTTAATTTTCACATATGATATTGGCCAAAAATTACAGTCAAGATGGTATGCTGCGGCCTGTCATGCCTCTAGAGTTGATATCTTTGACTCTTCCCTCTAGAAAGTTCAGCTGTCTGCATTTTTCTTGTGTTGATTTGCTAGATTTTAAAAAATCTTTCTTCTTCCAAGTATCTGGGCCTAATAACTGAATGATTTCGGATTAGAGGGAGGTTTATCAAACTGTTATTTTCCAGGTATGCTGTTATATTTTGGTCCTCAAGTTAACTTCATTTTATTAAATGATGAAAGTTTGACTGAGAAGTTAATATCATCCAGCTATAAACATTAGAGTTTGAATGTCAGACTATGCTCCCGCCTGTCTAGCCTGAGTCGAACATATTCTGACAGGTGTCATTGTGTATTTATGAAATACTACGTTGACTTTAATGTATTAGTGTTTTCTTCTTTTAGTTTGTCATTCCTGCAAAAAGTTCAGTTTTATTTGATTAAAGTTGAAATTTGAAGTAAGGATGCAGAATGATGGTAATCAGTTTATTGGAGGACTGTTAAGATGTGTATATGAGAACAGTAAATTTGTCAATTAAGATGTGATAATCAAGTAAGTATTTTAGTCTCAAACACTGCTGACAGCTCTGAGACTTCCTACCTTCTCAAAATTCTCTGTTCCCTTGGGTTTTATTTAATACTCTAGTTTCCTGATTTTCTGCCTTGATGTTTAAGCATCCCTCTCCTGCTTAAAAAAAAATAATAATCTTAGTCACAGTGTTTTCTTCTTTCTGCCCCCTAAGTGTATGTGATTTCCCCAAAGCTCTGTTCTTGGTTATTCTCACTTGCTCTTATGGCAACAGGGCAGGAAGACCAGCACTCGAGGCCAGTGTCACGGACAAGAGACTGAAGAGGAAGCAGGAACAGGAATTACAAAGTACCTTATCAGACATGTTAGGTAGTTGGACCTGATGGTAGAGCACAGACCCTGAGAGTTTTAAACAGTAATGTATTGTTATCAGATACATACATTTTATTTTTTGTATTTTCAATTATAAAATCATACTCATGAAAAATTCAGCAACTCCCAAGTATAGGCATTCTGTGCTCTCCCTCTCTCAGGCCTGCTTTCTGCAGAAAGCCACAATTAGCAATTGTGAGGTAATCCTTCTGGCCTTTCTCTTGTTGGGCATATATAATCATTTATCTATAGAGATGGGGTTCCCCTTGCCTCCTCTTAGAGAAGAATGGAAGGAAAATGCGCATTTTGAAAGATTATCATTTCTCTATGTGGAGGATAGATTGGAGGGAAACGGGTAGAAATAGGTTGACCAGTTTGGATACCTTTTTAAAAAGTTTTATTTATTTTTACTGAATAGTCAAAATTACAGAGAGAGAAGGAGAGACAAAGACAGATTCCGTCTGTTGCTCGCTTACCAAATGGCTGCATTGGCTGGAGCTGCATTGGCTCTCGGTCTCCCACATGGATGCAACAGCCTAAGTTGTTGGACCAGTATCTGCTGGTCATAGCAGGCCATACGCAGGGAGGTGGGTCAGAAGTGGAGCACCTGGGACTTCAGCTGACACCTACTGTGCTGGTCCCCTAGGATACTATTTTAGAGATTTATTTTTTTATTATTTTTTTATTGGAAAGGCGGATATACAGAGAAGAGAGACAGAGAGGAAGATCTTCCGTCCGATGATTCACTCCCCAAGTGAGCCGCAATGGCCGATGCTATGCCGATCCAAAGCCAGGAGCCTCTTCCGGGTCTCCCACGTGGGTGCAGGGTCCCAAAGCTTTGGGCTGTCCTCGACTGCTTTCCCAGGCCACAAGCAGGGAGCTGGAAGGCACAGGCAGGGAGCTGGAAGGGAAGCGGGGCTGCCGGGATAGAACCGGCGCCCATATGGGATCCTGGGCATGCAAGGCGAGGACCTTAACCACTGTGCCACAGCGCTGGGCCCTAGGATACTATTTTAATAGACTGGATAAGAAATGCCAGGAGCTTGATTTGGTTTGTGATGGTAATGGTATGATGAGAAGCAAATGGAGTTGGGAAGTATTTAAGAGACAGAGTCAGTATGATTAACTGGTAGATTTGGAAAATGGAGAGGGAAAGAGTGAATTGAAGATGAAACTCAGATTTTGACTTAGGAAACTGGTTAAATTCACTGAGATGAGAGCACTCAAAGGGAAGGAAAGGTACGGAAGTGAGTTGGATGTGGATGCAGTCAGTTTTGCGCAGCTAAGATTTATTCCAGTGTGTATGAGACGAAAAGGAGAAAAATCCAGAGATGCGTATTTTTGAGTTATTATGTCCAAATGGTAAATAAAATGATGTAACTGGATTAACTTGCTTTGGGGGAAGAAAACATAGATGAGAAGGCAGCTAAGAAAGGAGTCCTGAACTCTTAACATTTAAGGGACAGGGCTTGGCGTGGTAGCCTAGCAGCTAAAGTCGTTGCCTTGCATGACCCAGGATCCCATATGGGTACCAGTTCTAATCCCAGCAGCCCTGCTTCCCATCCAGCTCCCTGCTTGTGGCCTGGGAAAGCAGTCGAGGACGGCTCAAAGCCTTGGGACCCTGCACCTGTGTGGGAGACCCAGAGGAAGTTCCTGGCTCTTGGCTTCAGGTTGGCGCAGCTCCAACCATTGCAGCCACTTGGACAGATCTTCATCTCTGTCTCTCCTCCTCTCTTTATATCTGACTTTCCAATAAAAATAAAATAAATCTTTAAAAAACATTTAAGGGACAGAAAGAAGAATAGGAAGTTGTGAGGGAGAATCTTTCCAAGAGCTCCTAGATACGATATGAGAGGCCAAGAGAAGAGACAATTTTGAGAAGAGAGTAGTCAACAGTGTCATGCCGCAGCAGGTAAGACAAGGACTGAAACGGTCGCTGAGTTGGTAATGGGGCCATTGGCCACTTGAGAAAAATGTCCATGCTGTGGGAGTAGAAACCAGATTTCTATCCCATATGCCCCATGTTTAAACAGTCACTGAATCCTGTCACTTTTTTGTTATTGTCTTTCCTTTTCTCAGTAGCACTTCTTTCCATTTTTTTTTTAGTACTAGACCGTTTACATAGTCTTCAAATTAATAGCAGTTTGAGCACCTACTCTCTCGTAGACTCTGTTGGAAATACAAAGACATGTAAGATACGATTCCTTTTCCAAAGAGGGGGAAATAAAGGGGAGAAGGGAAGTAGTTTGGGCACCTACTACGTGCCAGGCACTTTATGTATGATCATTCATCGAATCTCCACAGTAATCCTATGAGGTCAGTACCGTATGTCCCTCCTTTCTTTTTTTAACTAAAGAAAAAAAAAATGATACTTGTACTGACTTGTCCAAGGTCACCCAGAGATATAGAGTTTGTATTTGAACTATGATTGTTTGATTTCAAAACTCACATTTTAAATAGTGCTTTTTTGCATGTAATCTAATTTATAAGAATATTGCACAAAAGTAATGGTAGTCAGTTTAAGCTTTAGGATGGAAAAATATTTCTGTGCAATCAGTTGACTGGCATAAAATTACATAGATGGTAATTGTTAGGCTTTGAGATATTTTCAGATTCAATATTTTGGTTATTCCTCCTTGGGAGTTTTAGTGCCTGGCAGAGAGTAGATGCTTAATAAATGTTTGGATGAATTTAGAGAGAGATACTATGGTAAGTGGGGGTAGCGAGACAAGGTTTTTTAGAGGAAGTGGGGTTTAGGCTGTGACTTAACATGAATGTGACTTTAAAAGAAGGATGGGGAGGGCTTTTCAGGTAGACACAGAATAGGCAAATGTAGGCCAGGGTGGGGAGGGAGGAGGGTGAGGGTGGGGAGGGGAAGGCAGAGGTCGCAAACAGGCAGACCGTATGCTAGATAAGGCCTGTAAATATATTTTATTTGACCCATGTAATATTTTTTTTAAAAAATGGAATTTGTTGTCAACATGTAAAAGTTTGCAAAACAATCTGATTCCCCACTATTACTGAAAAATTTTGAAGATCTGATCTGAGTCCACATTCCTTCATGGCAAACAAGCCAGAACTGAGTAGCTGCTGCCCATTCTACTCTCACACCAGGTGCACAGATACCCTTCATATATAGCCAACTTTGCTCATGTACAAGTTTACTGGCCTCACTTAGCAAGTTTGCGACCCCTGATGTTAAGTGTTGGGGATTGGGGCGGTAGTGTGGTTTCGCGGGGCTGTGAATAAACCAAATTGTTCTGGAGTGGAAACGTTTTATTAATGGGGCTCATTGGGGGAATATATAGGTCAGCTGTCATCCACATTGTGAAGGACCTCCAAAGTCCCTGTGAAGGCATGGAAGAGCCATTTTAAGTGTTTGAAATGGGGAGTGACATGTTCAAAGTAGTGTTAAGAAGAGGAGCCTGGTAGGAAACTATAAGATGAAGTGGATAAAGCTTTCTGGTGGGAAGGCAGTTAGGGAGCCAATACTGTAAGAAGTAATAGTATAGACGTGAGATAAAGGCCTTCGTTAGGGTTAGTAGTAGGTCATAGAAGAAATAACAGAATTGAGAGTAATTACAAGGGACTAGCAATTAATTGAAAATGGACAGAGGACTTGAAAAATGGCAAAATATAGGGTCATTAAGTAAAAAGGAAATCAACAGTGAGAATCAGTTTTGTTATATTTTATGTCCCGTTTTGTTTGATTTTTATTAGTGTTATTTTTTTTAATTTTGCATTTTTGTGTGTACAAGAAGTTAATGTGGGCAGCGGGGGCAGGAAAGATCTGTTAAGAGTATTTGTCACTGTCTCACATGGTGAAGTTATAACATTAATGTTGCAAATTGCTTCTGCTCTAAGTACTAAACTAAAAAGTAAAGTAACTTGCATGAGAGCTAGTTCTGTGGTTCAGTATAGTTTAAGTGCTCACCTTGCCACTAAACCACACTACCAAGCTAAAAGTTATCTTCTTGTAGCTTTGAGCATTTCACTCCACTTTGGTCCTTCTAAATTCCACGGGTTCGTGCTTTGCTTAGTTTGAATTTCATTTTGCATGCTACAGTTACTAGATTTGTTGTATTTGTTTTCCAGTTGATGTAGAACATTCTCATGTTCGATTTCTGGGAAACCTGGTGTTGAACCTGTGGGACTGTGGTGGGTGAGTATCACGTGCTTGCGTGTTTGTGAGGCTGACGGCTGTAATCACTGCACCTAGCATCATCAGCATGATGACTAAACCTTGAGGCTCCGTCAGAGTGGCAGAGGACAGAAATTAGTGAACATTTATCCATGAAACATCTCTGACTTTTACGTGATAGTACAAACGACTCTGTAACGCATTTAAATACAGCTGCTACAAGGTCCATCTAGGCGTCTGTAGTATGGGAAAAATTCTCCTTTTGTAGGGGGATGGTAGGGTTCTATCTCATTTGGTCTTCAGCCATTGTCGGGTTCTTAGCTGTCAAACCATCCTGCTTTATTGTTAAATGTTTCACAGCTATCTTCCCTTCATTGCAGTGCTATGGAGCACATCTTGAGCACACATTTTCTCGCTGAATTAGCTGGTTTTGAGAGACAGGATAGCAGACAGCTTTTCCTCTCATCCCCAAGACACTCACCAAATAGCTCATCACAAATGCCTACTATTCTCATGTGAAGGTACATCAAAAGGTTGATGAAAATGAAGTAAAAGTTGTATATTTTGCTTAAAATATTGAAATCTATGCATATTTTTTTCACAATACACATTCCCAGGTAGTTTCTGAAGACTGCTGAGGTTGTCTCTGCGCTGTGATCATTGGTGTACTGTGGAGCAGCCAATACAGTGTCTGATGACCAGGAGAATAGGCGCTTGAATTAGATTGGTATTTATAGTTCAGCTCTGTCAGCTGCGTTTATCTCAGATTATTGAAACTCTCAGAGCTATAGTTCCACCATGTGTAGCATAAGGATAGTACTGGAGACAGCTTGTTACTCAGTACCCTCTGTGATAGATTTAGTTATCATCGTTTTATAGCTGTTTGTGCAAATCAAGATTTATTGAAGTAATGCAGTAGTCAAAATCTGTCTCTGAACATGACTCCATGCTTCCTAGCAGGGAGATTACTAATGGCTAGAGACTACTGTCTCTCTCTCCATGAAAATCCTCCCTCATTATCATTGCTTCCAATTCCCTAACCTGTATTAAGAGGCTGGTGTAAGTACCATGGTTTTCTGGCAATAAGATGTGAACTTTACTTTCACAGACTGTGCAGGTTCAGGGAGATATTTATTCTCCCCAAGTGTCACAACTAATCAGTAGTAAAGTGCAGTTCTAGAAAGTAGGTTCATACTTTTTCACTGCTAGACAACGTTACTGTTTTCTGCTGACTAGTTGGTGTTGAGGACTTGGAAAATATCACATAGCTCCCATGGCCTAAGGAGCAAAAAACAGCATTTTTTCTTAGAAGTAATCCTTGGAGTCATTTTTGGATACAATATTTAGTCAGCAAATGTTCATTGTTTATTTTAAAAACAATGGGAAACAGTAATAGATTTGGCCCATTGTCTTCATGGAATTCGTTGTCTGGTGAAGTTAACTCCATTAATTAAACACAAAGACAATTATGAACTCATGGATGTGAGGTTATAAATAAGAGGACTGTATTTTCATAGAGCCCAGGTGAGTTGGTTAGTCCAAGTTGCTAGTATGCACCGAGAGGCAGTAAGCACGGAACTAAACTCTAAAGAGACAAATAGGAGTTAGCTAGATGAGGAGATAAGAGGTAACAGTTGAGATAGAAGAGACTTCATGTGTAAAGGCCTCCTGGGGGATTAACTCTGGAACTCTTGAGGAACCGAGAGAAGCCTAGTACTTGTCACCCAAGAGGAAAGGTAAGGCCAGACTTATTTGCTACTATTTGTCCTTTAAATTGAAGTCTTTTGCATTGGTCCAGCCAACAAAAATAGATTATAAGCAGGAGTGGTTGAACTGAGGACTTCTGTACCATCTAGATTTTTTTCTTAACAGGCAAGACACCTTCATGGAAAATTATTTTACTAGCCAAAGGGACAACATTTTCCGAAATGTTGAGGTTCTGATTTATGTCTTCGATGTGGAGAGCCGTGAACTGGAGAAGGACATGCACTATTACCAGTCATGTCTGGAAGCCATTCTGCAGAACTCACCAGATGCCAAAATCTTTTGCTTGGTGCACAAAATGGATCTGGTACAGGAAGATCAACGGGATCTGGTAGGAAGCACAAAAGGCACTGTCAAATGGTTCACATGCTTTAAACACTTTATGTGGAGGTGCAGGTAACTTTGTGCCATTCTCTTAGGGAAAAAAAATTCCCATCAAAATCCAACACTTGCCTAGAGAAAACACTCTTAAGTACATTTTCATGGTAGTTTTGAGTGATTGCTTTATGGTTTTATGAATGCCCATTTCAACATCTCTGAAGATATATTGAATTCTTTTTTAATTTAAAAATTCTTTATTTTTCATGATACAGTTTCTTCGGCTCAGGGATTTTTCCCTCCTACTTCCTCCCTTCTCTTCTGCCCCCCACTGTTTTCCCATATTTTGTAACAATAGTTTAGTCCCTCAACAAGAGTATTCTTTAAGGAATTTTAAGCTTAATTTTGAAATTTCTTTATTTCATTAAATATTGAGACTTGAAATTTAAAAATAAAAATGGTTAAAGTGCCTTCCTAAATACCAATTTCAGCCAAGGCATATGTTTTACTTCATTTGTATATATTAGGCCTCTCCAGAACAATAGAACTAGTTGTGTGTGTTTGTGTGTGAGTGCATGTGCACATGTGTGGATGCATATGAAGAGAAAGAGAGACTCAAAGCAATACATGTGTATACTCACAGAAGGAGTCATTGTTTTTAGAAATTGGTTCAACCAGTTACGGAGCCTTGGAAATTTGCAAGATGGGCAGACAGGCTAGAGACACAAGAAAGAGTTGATGTTGCAGTGTGGAACAGAATGCAGTCTGGAAGACAGAATCCCCTCTCCCTCAGGAAGTGAGTTTTTAAACCCTCAACTGTTCGGGTAAGATCCCCCACAATTATGGGGGGTAATCTGCTTTACTTAGACTACTGAATTAAATGTTAATCTTTTCTAAATGATATCATTACAGCAACATCTGGACTGCTCTCTGGCAAAATGTCTGGGCACTGTAGCATAGACAAATTAACACATTAGAGTAACCATTGTAGTCTACATTGATCAACTTGGAATACATATAAAATCCCTAAAGCCGTATCTGATCTCCAGTAAAGGTTATAACAAGGTCATACTTTCACCTGCCATGATACAACTATCCAAAATCCAACCAAAAATGCAGTAATCTTTTCCCTAAGAGAGAGAGTGCTAAGTTGATGGGTAATTTTTACTTTCCCCTTGCTATGTGGTAATTTATACATTGCAATGTAAGATTAATATTACTTCAATATTATAATGTACAGTGTGCATATTATGTTGCCTACAAGAGTATAGGAGAGGTAAGAAAACAAGCACAGTTGTGTGTGTGTGTGTGTGTACATTATTATGCATTCAAAACAATATGAATAAATACTCATGGCAATTATAGTCATCATTTGTATAATTGGTCATGTGATGGTAGCTGATATTTTAAATTAGTTTCTTTGGTTTTTAATTCTCTTTGCCTACAACTGCACGTGACCTTGTTATAGTTCTGCTGGTGGAGTGACCCAGAGATCATTAACAGAACCTGCCTAAATGGAATTCTTAGTTTTCCATTAACTGTAATCACAGAGCACAGTTTTACTATGAGAATGACCCACTGTGAATCTCTTATATTCTAGAATACATTTCCTTACTTCCATTGTGGAGTTGCAATTCAGTTTCCCCCTTGATAATCAGGACAAATTGTCCTTACTAGTCCCGTAACGCTGTACTTCTTAACTATTGAGGAGCCCAACGTGGCCAGGTAGCAGTCCTCCAATTCAATGTAATCACTGCCATGTCTCATTCTTCCCTTTACAGTTGATATCTCTAGGCCAACAGAGGATGAGAGAGAGAGAGAGAGAGAGAGAGAGAGAGAGAGAGAGAGATTTCATCTGCTGGCTCACTCTCCATGTGGTTGCAGTGGCTCTAGCTAGACCGTGCTGAAGCCAGAAGTTTCATCTGGTTCTTCCACATGTTAGGGGCCCAGACACTTGGCACATTTTCTGTTACTTCTTCGGATGTGTTAGAAGGGGGCTGGATTAAGAGTGGAGCAGCGAGAACTGTGGCCATTGCCCATAGAAGGATGCATACATCTGAACAGCTGCTTTGCGTGCTGTCCCACTGTCCTGGTCCCAGTTTATTTCTTTTAAAAATATTCATTCATTCAAAAGTAAGAGTGGCACCAACAGGCCAAGAGAGACAGAAAGAGATTTGGAGCGCTGAGAGAGAGATCATCTGCCTGCTGGTTCACGCTCTAAACACCTGCAACAACCAGATCTAAGATAGTCTAAAGCCAGGAATCTGTAACGCCATCATTGTGGTCTGCTGCTTTATTATCTGGAATTCTTCCTATATGGTTTGCTGCTTTCGCAGACATATTAACAGGAATCTGGATCAGACATGGACTAGCTGAGACCTGATTGATGTTCTGATATGGAATATTATTGTTGCAAGAGGCAGCTTAACGCCCTATACCACAACACTGACCCCTGTTACATTTCCTTTAGGCAAAGTAGGGCTAATCTCAGATCTGGAAGGAGTAATTTCTACTTTTATTTTTGTTTTATTTTTTTAAAGATAATTTAAAAGAGAAGGAAAGGCAAGAGCCATAGAGACATAGAGAAAGAAGGCTCCTATCTGCTGGTTCACTCCCCAAGAGCCCACCATGGTCAGGGTTGGGCCAGGTGTAAAGTAGGAGCCAAAAATTGCATTCAAGTCTCTCGTGTGGGCACCAAGGACCCCAGCACCGGTGTGCTCTGCTGCTTTCCCAGATGCAGTATCAGGGAGCTGGATCAGAAATCCAGCTGCTGAGACTCCAGCTGGCACCCGTATGGAACCCTGGTGATGCAGGTGGTAGTTTATTTATTGTGCCACAGCCTGGAGTGAGTGCTTCTGCTGACAGAGACAACTCATGGGAATTTAGTTCAAGGTTCCCTGCTTCATCAGAACTTTGTCATATGACTCCAGTCCCCGTCCCCTCCCCTGCTCTTCCAGTTGTTGTTCTCCTGCCCAACCAGTGGTCTATAAAAACAGACTCCCTTTGAAATTGGGAATGCAGTTAGTTTTGTGATTATTCTAATCAAAGGATAAAATGCCAAGTTTAGTTTTTAGCAGTCTCCGCTTTTTGGCTCTAAGATACAAAATTATTTTCAGGGCAAACATAACTTTTAGGTCATATATACAGTTCTCGAGCTGGGAATTCAAATCTATTAGTGCATTTTTTTTTGTTATTTTGTCTGGTACAACTAGCATCAACCAGCCACTTTAATTATGCTCATCATTTTGACAAGAAAAGTATATTTCTGTTGCCACATTGCATCATAGATTGTCAGTGTTGTCTAACACTGAAAATTGAGTCATTAATTGTATTAGAAAATCAAGTCTAGATGCTGAGAGTAAATTTTTTAAAATTCATTAAGATTCTTCTCTAGAACTATTCTCAGTACTAAAGTCTATACTAGTCTAGGGTTCTCCAGAATAAGAGAACTAGTGCAATGTGTAAATATGTATACACATAAGATTAACCATCACTATGTGTATATTATATATATACACTGTGTATATGTGTATATATATATATAGTATATTCATTACCAATCCACCTACTCATTGAAAAAATCAGTATATATGGAGAGAGTGAGACAGTATAAACAAATGTGACAGATATTGATTGGTTCAGCTGGTTGTAGAGAACTCATGTCTGGCTTTTGAGGGCAAACTGACAGACTGGAAACTCAAGGCAGAGTTGATGTGGCAGTTCCACCTAGAAGGCAGTTTGGAGTCAGAATTCCTTCAGAGGATACAAACTTTTCTCTTAAGGTTATTAATTTATTGATTGAGCCAACTTACATTATAGAAGGAGATTTGCCTTATTCAAATTGTATCTTAGTTAAAGGTTAATCTTATATAAAATAATATCTTCCCAGCAACACCCAAATATCTGGGTACTTAGGCCTATCTAAATGAACACGGGATTAGCCATCATGCTATACACGTACTCTCATCACCAATATACCTATTTCTGGGAAAATATTTATGTATATATATAAAATCAAATTATTTACATATGTAAGTGTGTTCCATGTGTATGTGGACAACTATATTTGGTAACAGTTTCAAGATGGATTGATGTTTGTGTGTAGGGGATTACATCTGTATAGGTAAGTAAATATAGTACTGAAATATAGAGAAATATATATAGTGTTCAAGGTACTTTTGCTTACAAAGTCATGATGTTGCTATAGCTATTTTAAAATACCATCTGAGTTCGTGAAATAATGTATAGTCAAAATCACATTAATACAATACCTAGGATATAGAAATGACCTAAGTGTCCTGATCAGCTTCTGGATGAATAAACACACGAATAAAGAAAACATGATACATGATGGAATAAAATTGAGCCATTAAAAAGGATTTAATCCTATAGTTTGCAAAAAAAAAATCAGTACATGTACATAGTAGAGCAGTACACACAATGATACATATGCACATGGAATACTATTGGATTAATCTCAAAAAAGGATTAAGTCATGTAGTTTACAAAAACAAAAACATGTTACATACAATGAAATACTGCTGAGTCATAATGTAGCTTGCCAGAGCACAGAGCTAGCGATCACTATGTCACGTGAAATAAACCCAGTACAGAAAGAGGTGTTGCATGATTTCGCTCATATACGGAACCAACAAAAATTGATCTCCATAGCTGAGGATGCAGAAAAATCAGGCTGAAAAAATGTGGGTGGGTGGGTGGGTGAACAATGAATATACTGAGTTATAGTTACATTGAAGGAAGTAGTACTGATATTTTGACACACAATAGGATAACTTAACGATACTGATAATGTATTATATTTTTATTTTTAAAAAATAGAAGAAAGGATTTTGAATATATTCACCATGAAAAAATGGTAAATATTTGAGGAAAAATTGTTCCATGTTTTGAACATGATACAATATATAATTATTGAAATGAAACAGCACATAAATATAGTTTTATGTAATAACCAGAAACAAAAGAAAAACTGTTCAAGGTGCAAAAGCAGAAGCTATAGTTACAGATTTTACAGTGAATAAGGATGGCTGTTACATGCTGATCAGAATGTTGGACTTTTTAATTCAGATTTTTAAAGAGCGAGAAGAAGATCTGAGGCGTTTGTCTCGCCCCTTGGAGTGCTCCTGCTTCCGGACATCTATCTGGGATGAAACTCTCTATAAGGTGTGTTCATCTCCCTGCGTTTCCTCATTTTAAGAGCATGAAAGAAAGCTAGAAGAATGTTACCAAGACTAACAGCTTTTTTTAGCCCTCTAGATTTGTTATACTTAACAAATATCTACAATAAGTTGTTTCAAGAAAATCAAACTTAACCTTAGAGATACTTTGCTTTGCTCTTACACTGGGTCGACATAGCTACCAAATCACACTAAATTAGCCAGTATGGTCAGGATTACTTTGATATTGATCTTTGTGGTAGCAGATGCTTCACTGGCTGGCCATCATCCATTTTGACCTGGTGTGGTCTCAATGCTGATTGGAGTTATGTCTCGTATTTAGGTACCTGCACAGGATATAGTTTGTCTGCCTAAAACTGGAAGGCAGTGAAGAAAAATATCTAGGGAAGAAATTGGAGAAGGGAGTCTTAGAATGAGACATGATATAATAGAATATTTTAGCTTCAATTTTAATGAGAAATTGGAGACTAGTGTTCTTGCAGCCAGAAAGATTGTTCCCGCTATTGTAGTGATTGTGGAAGTTACGATAATAGCTGTGTCGCAGATGAAGCTGAAATTGCATTATTGGCACATAGGCTCCTGCTTTCCCCCTTTTCCTGCTGATCTAGTGATTTGAAGGACTGGCTCAGTTTGAGTTCTCCTGTGGTCAGACTTTTCCTTCAGACTGCTTCTGGTACCCATTGACAAGTGTGGCTCGGATGGGAAAGCACTCTTCTGTGTCACTGGTAGCTAACGCTTCAGTAACATCTGCATCTGACAAGTTTATCTGCAACCAGAAGCACGGAAACCTGACTTGCCAAGGAGAAAAACCATTGGACTTTAAAGATAGCCACTACTTTTGAAAAAGAAACGAATTCATTTTTTTTCCCTCAATATTATGTTGACCCAGCCTCACTCTAATAACAGATCATTTTGAGATACCTTTCTAGGAAATACTGTTCTAGATTAATATGGGCCGAATTTCTCTCAAAGCCTTATTCCCATAGAACAGGTAACCGTGAATAAGGATGGACATGACGCACTGATAAGAACCAACTGCGGTGTGAAGGATGGCAATACATAACACGACCAAAGACAATTGGCTAATCACAACACTGCTGTGAGTGACAATGTCTCTGCTGTGGTTAGCTTTGGTGCCTTCTCCAAGGTAAATTCAGCAGTGACATTAACACCGACCTGGGAACTTGGAACCTGAGCCCCCATGCCTAAGTAATAAAACTAATTGGAACAGAGACATGGCACTACTATCTCTTACATCAATGTTGCATAGAGCTGACGTACATTTTTATATTAAGTTTTATTCAACAAGCACTCATTGCATATCTGCCTGATGCTGCTGGAAACACAAATGACTAAAACCAAGTTCCTGTCCTCTAGCTGGGGAGAGAAGAACCAAGTACACCTAACCAGACAAACTGCAGTGAGAGTGAAAGAACCATAATAATGGAAATACATAAGAGAACAGAGGGAGGGTATGGTGATTTTCAACTGCTTACATTAGTCATACTTCTCTGGATGAAGTCAGTTCTAGGTGAACACACAGTGGACCATTTTTAATTCATTTGGATCAATAATTTGTACAGCTGACAGCAAACCTTTGGGATTGAAAATGCCACTGGTTTCTCTTGTAATGGTATATTATCCCAGTGAGGGGAGGGCCCATTTGTCCATGTGGCTAATATTTTCTAAAAATTGTTGGGTGTATGCTAAATATTGCATTATTATGTTCTCATCTTTAGAGCGATCTACACTGTTGGACTAAAATATTTGTTGAATGGCTGGATTAGAAGCTTTTTAGCACATCGGTCATATTTTCAACTTTTTTCCCTAAGGCAACATGATGGCAATGATGTTACTTGTTCATTTTCAATTATCAATGGGAAGGAGTTTCTCTAATATTTTATGAAATTGTTTGAACCTTAAAACATTGAATTCAAGGACAAAAATTAGATATTAGCTGCATTTTCTCATTTCATTTGTGTTATGTCATATTTAATGTCAGTATATGTTTGGGACTCAATTGTCATCATATTTTCCTGTCCATATGTTGTACTGTGCTTACTCATTTCAAGGATTTAGGACTGGCTACCTGTTGGTAACACAACCTTATGATTCTATTCTGTTAGGCTTGGTCCAGCATTGTTTATCAGCTGATTCCCAACGTTCAGCAGCTGGAAATGAATCTAAGGAATTTTGCTGAAATTATTGAAGCAGATGAAGTTCTTCTCTTTGAAAGAGCTACGTTTCTGGTAAGAACTTGTCGCTCTACAGATGTGTTTCACACTGTGCCTTTTGTTGGTCAGCAACACGGAATAGCCTGTTACCACTTCAGGAAGAATCTTTTTGTCTAATCATCACTTCCGTATGCACACCCATAATTATTAAGTTCTGTGGCCAACAAGGGAAAGAAGTTCTTTAGCGTTAAGACTCTAATACTTAGCAGAATTTGGAGTTTTGCAGGTATGCCACCCACATAAGAGATGTGGATGAAGCTCTTGACTCCTGGCTTCAGCCTGACTGTTGTGGCCATCTGGGAAGTAAATCAGAAGACTGAAGATTTCTCTCTAGTTTTCCATTTCTCTGCAGTACTGCCTTTCCTTTATTATTTTTAAATATTGTTTACATAATTGAAAGAGATGCATGCCCATGTGGGCCCCTCATTTGGGTGTGAGGGGGATCAGATGTGGAGAAAGGTGAGTGGGACATGTGTTTCAGTCTTTTTTTTTTTCTCCTATTTCCACAGGAGCAGAAGGGAAGAGACCCACTCCTTGCTGTCAAACTATATCAGCACTCAGGGATGTAGGACAGTCCTTTGATGATGCCCTAGAGACCCCATTATGGGCAAGGGTGTTACCTGAGTGCTTTTGATAGCCCAGAGACACTGTAGGCTTCATTGCTGCAGGGTTGAGAAAATCTTTCTGAGGTTTATTGGTTGACAGAGTCCACTTTAATGCATGCACATACCCAGGAACATGCTGCAAAGCTTGGCCAGGAGAATTATACAGCCTGTTCTGCTTTCCATCCTCTGATGAGGCTGTCGATGTCCTCTGCTGACCAAAAAGAGCTGGCTGTCCTGTTTCCCTGTACACTACACAAGCATCAGCAACTGAGGAGGCCCAATCCCAATACATGCGCTCTAAGGATGTACCGTATGTATTGTGAACTTCCCTGTGACAAGGATTTGAGTCCAGCCATCTAGTTGGCGAGTTCCCCAAGAAACCTGATCTGGGGTGACTTCAGACTTGACTCTTGTGTGTGCCAGACAGAGCAGGGTCAGGTGCGCTTTGTCACCTGCAGTAGCCAGTGTAAATACTGATGGGTAGGGCTTCCTAGTTGGTTACTCCTCAGTCCCTTATCTCACATGAACTGATGGATGCTGTGGCCTAGTCAAGCCAGTCCTCCACAAAGCCAGTCCTCACGCATACTAGTGAGTGCCACAGCCTAGTCAGGGAGACACCCAATAACCCTACCAGGCTCACCCATAGCCCCAGGTTTTGGGTGTGCTAGCCTCTGCTGTGGCCTAGCCTGGCACATCCCATATCCCATCACACTCTTGTACACACCTGTGGTTGCTACAGCTTAGATCAGCCCGCCTTGCCCCCAGACCTGCCCCTCATGCATGCCAAGAGTTGCTGCCACCTTGTCCAGCCTAGACCCACCAAACCTGGTTTCTGTGCTCACCAGTGATAGGTACAGTCTAGTAGGGAAGTGCCTGCCATTCTCCTGCCAGGCACCTGCCAGTTGGTACTGCAGTCCAACCTGACATTACTTGCATCCAGTCTAAGCACTTGCCAGCATGTACTGTGGCCTAGTCCAGCGGGCCCACACTCATTGTGGGTCTCCTGCACTCAAGTAGGTACAGTACCTTTGCTGAGCCTGGCCCACCCCAGACTGGCCCAGTCTACTGCAAGACACAGAACATCAATGTTCAAAGTTACTGCAGCCCAGCCTGGTCTAGTGTATTGCCAGCCCTGGCTTTCACACTCATCAGCAGAAAGAGGTGCCTAGCCCAACTGGCATGCACCCATTCTGGTTCTCACCAATGGATGCTGCAGCCTAGCCCAGCCTAGCCCACGTCCCAGACCCAACTCTCTTGTGGTCCAGCAGGTGCCAAAGCCTAGCCTTGGCCTGTCCCACACCCATTGTGACTCTTGGGAGCACCAGTGGAGTCTAGAGCCCAACCCAGTTTGGCCTGCCACCAGACCCAGCCTACACATATGCTAATGGGTACAGCAGTTTTGCCCAGCCTGCAGCCCTTGCTCTCGCACTCACCAGTGGGAGCTTTAGTCCAGCAGGGGAGTTTCCAGAGATATCCTACTGGGCTCAGGTCTTCTGCATGCTGGTGGGTGTTTCAACTCAATCTGGCATGCCCTACCTGCAGTTTCAGCTCTCAGTGGTGGTTGTTGAAGCCCAGCCCATCTGGGCAAAGCCACACCCTGTCATGGCTCTCCTGTGTGCCAGTGGATCCTAAGGTCTGGCCTAGCCCAGCCTGTCCCCAGTCCCGGCACACAAAAACACAAATGCTTGCAGCCTTGCCTGGCCTGACCCACCCCCAGCCTTGGCTCCCATGCTCCACAGAGGGAGCTGTGGCCTATTAGGGGAGTTCTCCCATACTAGGCCTGCTGCCAGCTCCAGATCTCACATGTGCCAGTGGCATGGTCTGTTCTCAGTGCAGCCCTTGCATTGCTGATGGGTGCTGCAGCCTGGCCCTACCCTGCTTTCTTCCAGCTCCAGCCTCCAGGCAGGTGGGTTCCAGTCAGGTGAGTTCTGTAGTTTAGCCTGGCTCAGACCAACACCACCCCAGCTCTCCACATAAACCAGCAGGTCCCACTGTCCCACAGAGGTGAGTCTATAATACTCCTATAGAATCTGTCCCCAGGTCCAATTCTTTCATGGATGCCGCAACCCAGACTGGCGTGGCCCATCCCCTGCTCCAACACTCGTAAGCAGGTACTGCAGCCTAGCACAGCCTAGCCCATGATTCACCCTGCCCCTCCCATTCCCAGCCCCAATTTTTGCGACTGCCAGTGGGCCATGGGCAGTGTTATTTAGCTCAGCTAAGATCACCCATGTGGATAGGTGGTGCCTTACCTGACCCAGACATCCCCCCTGGTTTCCCTCCTCTAAACCACTTCATCTCAGCTCAATTGCCTACCTGTGAGTACAATGGCACATCTGTGGAAGACCCCTGAACTTATTCCTCCCTTGTTAAACATGCTTTCAGCCACTCCTACTCCAGTACGTCCCCAGACCCCTTCCACAGGCAATTGCAGCTCCCCAACCTGGGGTGGCGTGTCCTGGCCTGGGACTACCCTGCCTTCCCCACTTACCTTTTAAAAGAAAAATGAAAATAAAAAAGAATAAGCAATTATGCTGGATGGAAGAGCAAGCAATTATGCTGGCGAACTGGTATAGTTAATACAGATTTGGCATTAACTAAGCCTGGAATGCCCGCCAGCTGTTGGCTGCTTTTCTCAGCAGTGTAACAACTGCTGAGGTACAGTGCAACCAAGGAAGCTACCTACAGCTGAGGGAACAATACCTTTCAAATGAAGAAAATAAAATCTTTTTTCAGGATTTGTTTTTATTTGAAAGGCATATTGACACAGAGAAAGATCTTCCATCCGCTGCTTAATTCCCCAGATGGCTCAGAGTCCTTAGCTGAACCAGCCTGAAGCCAGGAATCAAGAGCTTCTTCTGGTTCTCCAACATGGGTGCAGGGTCCCAGGGCTTTGGGCCATCTTCCCAGGCCATAGGCACGGAGCTGGGTGGGAAGTGGAGCAGCCAGGACACAAACCAGCACCCCTGTGGGATGCCAGTGCTTATAGGCGGAGGATAAGCCAATTAAGCCATCATGCAGCCTCAGTAAAAATCTTGTTTAAAAACAAGAAAGAATTATGGCCCTCTCATGCTGCTTCCCGACATTGTGCAAGAGAATTAGATTATAATTCCCTAGCCCAGGTAAAGGCTAAAAGGAGGAAAAGGAGTGTAGTTTCTATTAAATATGTATCAACACTTTCATAATATTGAAAAATCATAGGTCTTTAGCCACATATAGATAATACTTTGGTAGTCTGAGATCACAGCAAAATAGTACTGAATGGATAATCCCCATAGCGAAATCACACAGAATGTTGGCAGTGGTATAGGAGAGAGGTGAAAAGTCATTCAGATGCCAAGTCTATCTTTTAAGTCATTGCTTCCAAGAGACTGTCAGATATCTACTTTGAAGAATAGCGGAGAATGATGTGCCTCCTTTTGCATGGATTCATGGCAATGCTCTTTTCTGTAGGTGATTTCTCACTATCAGTGTAAAGAGCAGCGGGATGCCCATAGATTTGAAAAAATCAGCAATATTATTAAGCAGTTCAAGCTGAGCTGCAGGTAAGAGATATTGTGTATCTGATCTATTTATCTCTGGTAAAAAATAAAAGTTGTTGTAAGTTTTGTAGCTATAGTATAGTTCAAGTAACTGTAGTAAACTGAGCTTGTAAATTCAGGATAGTTCCTTTAGTAAACTCTAAGGGAGCCTGCAGTTGACTGAGGGACAGGTCATTGTCTTTTAAGATGAACTCAACTGATACAAGTGAAAAGTATTTAAGCAGAATATCTTTCTCAGATATTTGGTTCTATTTCAAAAGAAAGAAGCAGAATAACCAGGAGTGTCTTGAAGGAGGAGGAAGGCGAATGTGTCCTACTAAATGCCAAAATTCACTGGAAAATTACAGTAATGAATATAAGGAGGCGCTGATTCCAAAATGGTACAGAATGTCTAATCGTGCCAGCTGTTGTTAAAATCGTTCCTAACCTTGGCATTATAAACATAAAAAGAAGGAATAACTGAACATTATAATTCGGTAATATTTCAAAATCAAAATTCTTACCCTGGCAATGCCTTGATGCCTAGACAATAAGAATAAGCTCACCCCTTGATGCCTTTGCACACTTTGAAATATTCTAGGATTTTATGATAATAATTCTAGGGACAAGTAACAAATGACAAGCAAAAACAGTTACTCTGTTATCAAAAATATAATCATTTGTCAAATATCAATGTTACACATTGAAATTTTCTAGGTATTAATTTCAGTGACAGGAATTTCAGTTTAAGCTGATTCTTAAAGATTAGAGAAATTTTCTTGTAGCATGATGTTTTTAAACAGATCTACGTCTAAGCCCATTTTCTTTTCACAATCAGTATGATCCTGTCATCCACTTTTCTTCCCACCTTCAGTATCACATTCAAGTTATTAGAGTTTCCTTGGGAAAAAAAATAGGGTTAGTGATTACCTTAACGCAGTGGTAAATTGAGATATAGTGCTATAAATGTTCAACATTGAAAATAAGAGCTTCTCAAATGTTATTATTTTATTTAACTACTTTTTTTCCTTTATCCTATAGCAAATTGGCTGCCTCTTTCCAGAGCATGGAAGTTAGGAATTCTAATTTTGCTGCTTTCATTGATATCTTTACATCCAACACTTACGTGATGGTTGTGATGTCAGATCCATCCATTCGTAAGTATAAATTTAGCTGAGATACTTTCAAAACCATGTATTCTTTAAACAGCTGCCCTAATGGTAGTACTTCATTATATACTTTAAAATATTTTGTATTGAGGATAGTTGCACAATATTGTGAAAGTATTAGAAGAAAAAAAAAATTGTTGGGCTGGCATTGTGGAATAGTAGTTTGCAATGCCAGTATCCCATGTGCACGCTGGTTCAAGAATCAGCCCCTGCACTTACAATCCAGATTCGTGCCAGTGCACCTGGGAAGGCGGCAGAGAGTGGCTCAAGTGTTTGGGCCCCTGCACCCACATGGGAAAGCTGGATGCAGCTCCTGGCTTCACCCTGGCCCAGCCCTGGCCGTTGCGGCTATCTGGAGAGTGAACCAGCAGGTGGAAGCTCTCCCTCCTTGTCTCTCCCTTGCTCTCTCTGTAACTCTGCCTTTCAACTAATACAAATACATTTTTTATAAGAAAAGTTTTGTCATACATACTTTACCCATTAGATGAAAAGGTATTTTAATAATATTGATAACTACTTTTTTGTTTAATACACTAATATTTTAAAGTTTAAAAATATTTTAGCTCTAGGCCATCATGTTTATTTTCATGTAAACTTCAGAAAGCAAATTGTGAAATTCAATGAAAAGAGATCCTAAATCCATGATCTATACTTCCTATGGTACATATATTTTAAGATTAGTGAATCAAAGTTCTAAAAACCAAAAATATTAAACCCTGAACTGTTATATGCCATTACATATTCCTATTTACCATATTACAATGTTTATGTTATGGGCATGAAGGGAAGTGTTTGGTGCTTCCAATCATAATAGCCATGTTTATCACAAACAATGAAATAATGATTTTTACTTACATTATTACAGAAGATATTCCCAGAAGTTTAAATGGTCTCTCATATACTGGCTTTTCCTATACTAGGCAAGTACTATTATAATTTAATGGATTCTTTTATATTATCCCCAAACCAAAAATGTTCAGAAATTTAGCTTTAGAATATTAAGAAATTTGCTTATTTAACAAAATTTTGAGGCCGGCATAGCAGATTAAGTCATCCCTTCCATGCCTGTATCCCAAATGGTCGCAAGTTCAAGTCCTGGTTCCTCTACTTCCAATCCAGCTCCTTGCTAATGGCCCAAGTGCATAGGCCTCTCCATGCATTTGAGAGACCCAGTCTGAAGCTGCTAGCCTTTGTGCAGATTAGCCTTACCTGTTACGGCCATTAGGGAAGTGAACGAGCATGAAGATCTCTTTCTGTCTTTCCCTGTATTTCTCTGTAACGTTGCCTTTCAAATATGTAAGTCTTCAATTTTTTTTTTATTTTTGTAAAACTTAGGGAAATTGAACCAGGATAACTTGGGACTTCTTGTTTCTATGTGTTTTCTGTGACATATTTTGAGGGATTTGTTCTCTTTTGCTGATTTGTTTTTACTGGTTACACATTTCTTTATCTGCCCATACTTACTCTATTGGGTATCTCCCTACCCTTGCCCTTAGCTTCTGCAGCTACTCTGATCAACATCCGCAATGCCAGGAAACACTTTGAAAAGCTGGAAAGAGTGGATGGACCAAAGCAGTGTCTTCTCATGCGTTAACCATTGTTGAATACTGTTTTACACACACACACACACACACACACACACACACACACACACACACACACAAATTGAAGCGCTACTTCTTAACTAATCTTAAGGCTGTAAACATGTATATGTAGGCTCTAAAATGTTGTGATGCTTACCACTCTGTATTTCTTCTCTACACCCAAGTATTAACATTTAATCTCGAATGCTATTTCCTCAAGTAGCAAGTGCAGAATTAGAAGATGCGCTTTCCATAAAGTCAGTGTAACATAAAAGCAGGTGATATGTAAGTGTTCTAGCTTCTGGCAGTGTTTACGTGTTACAATGATCTCCTTCTAGTGGTAGTAGTAGTGTGTCAAAGCCTATTTCAGTATCGTCTGGTACTCCCTGTCAGATTCCCTAAGATTGGAGTATGACTGTTTTCTCAGCATGTACTAGAAATATTCCTTAAGCTCAAATCTGAATAAACTTTTGCTGTTAGGCATTTCAGTGTCTGTTTTTCTTGTTTCTTTAACTTTGCCCTAAGAGTGAGCAGTGCAATTTCACAGCTATCTTAGGTGAAGGGGACCTGTTGGTTGGAGAAAAGCACAAAATAAAGTTAGACTGGATTACAACAGAGTTGGACAGAAGAATTTAGCCTTATGAGTGTCTAAATGTCATGAGTGGTAAGAAAGCAGTGTGGCTTCTGAGCAAGGGTATTTGTAAAATTAGATTTGAAACAAAATTAACCTAGAATCTGAACTACCTGATGGCAGTTGGGGAAAATCTGGTAGTATTCCAGACCTGAAGTGTACTGCAAATCAGTTTCAGGATACAACTGGAGATGGAATAAATAAAAAGTGGAGGGATAATAAGTAGCATTTGTAAAATGAAAGTCATCTTTTTTGAGGTGTCATAATTATTGATTTTATATTTTCCACAATAGCAGATGATATATATCATTACTTTAAAAAAAAAAAAAAAACCTTTCTCAAGCTGGGAGTTGTGTTTAACTTTGGCTGAAAATGAAGAAGTGCTGTAAACTGGTAAAGTTGGACAGCAGTAACTAGAATGAATTCAAAGTCCTGGAATTTTTCTTTTCTGTCAGAGGGATCTCAGACCACCAGCCTCTAACCTTCCCAGTCTGACTTCATTGTCCTCAACTGAGGGACAGAGTTCTCACTGAAAAGAAAGAGTATGTTAGCCTTTATTACATAAATCTGAAAAATCTCAAGCCTTAAAGTAACACATGAAACTAATTTTATCAACAGATTTATCAGTCTTCTGCAGAAAAGGGTTTTACGTGGAAGTCCAAGAATCTTTAGCATTTAGCAAAGTGAGAAGAGTGAAACAACAGGGGACTGTCCTGTGACTGGTACGAGTCCTGATGCAACATGTTCTCATCTGTGCAATTTCACAGTCCCTTGAAAATGGTTTTGTATAGATAAAGATACTGATAAGAATAGAGACATTAAATTAGGTGAACATATAGAAAAGCATAAAGTACACATTCTTACCCTATTTGCTCTTCAGTCAAACCTTGCTCAGTTTCTAGTTGCAACTTGAACTTGGGAAATGTATCCATGTCACCTAACTTTCTTTGCATTCACACATAAAAAGGTTTCGGTGCATCTATTTGTTCAAAGGTGAGCTACTTAGAAACTCAAGTAAATGTGGATATATGTTGAAGGCATGCACACAGAAATGAAGACAAGCAATCAGAAATGTGCAGATTATGACATAGGGACACAATGAAATCCTGCCTTTTATCTGCCATATTATCTATGTCCGTAAGATTGGGCAGTGGTTCTCAAACTTGAACCTATTAAAATGGATTTCTACCCCAGCCACCCTGAATCTTTTATTTTGTGTAGGTTTGGGTCATCCCAAGGAATCTGTATTCCTAACAATCTGTATTCCTGGGGATGCTGCTGTTGAACCTCATGGTCCAGAGTCTACACTTTAAAAACTGCTATCCTGAGCAAAAGGAGAGGAGATGTACATGTGGGGGCAAGTAAGGGTCAACATGCTTTTGATAGGTTAGTAGTGGTGACACTTGTCAGCTGTGATAACAGTTAACTGTGATCATGCGAAGGTATTATATAAAGTAAAATCCATATGAAGGGATTTGAAAAGATTTATGGAAAAACAGAATTACACATTTATTTTGATGCAAGCATGTTTTGAAATCTGTCTATACAATCTTCAAAATGTTAGGAAAAGGGCCCGGCGCGGTGGCGCAAGTGGTTAAGTCCTTGCCTTGCACGCCAGGGATCCCATATGGGCGCCGGTTCTAATCCCGGCGGCCCCACTTCCCTTCCAGCTCCCTGCTTGTGGCCTGGGAAAGCAGTCGAGGACGGCCCAAAGCTTTGGGACCCTGCACCCGCGTGGGAGACCTGGAAGAGGCTCCTGGCTTCGGATCGGCATAGTATCGGCCCGTTGCGCTCACTTGGGGAGTGAATCATTGGACGGAAGATCTTCCTCTCTGTCTCTCCTCTCTGTATATCTGCCTTTCCAATAAAAAAATAATAAAAATAAATCTTAAAAAAAAAATGTTAGGAAAATACATATTACAAAAGAACTGCATAGATAAGATTACTCCAAAGTAATCTTATCTTTTAATTAAATTTTCTATGAACTTTTAAAATACTCTCATGTGTTTTAAATATTAATTCTTAAACTGTTCTAAAAGTTTAAGGGAGGTCTAGGAGTACTTTCCTTTGGAAAAGGAATAACTGAGAAGTTTCTCTGTTATAAGTGATATGTTGTAAGTGGCCATTGCTAGCATAAGGAAAATATGGACAGTGATTTGTGTAAGCACTTAGCTTCTTCCAATTTCACCGCACTTTAATTTCTAAGTCAATAGGATGTCATGAACTTATGTGAGTTGTCAAGCGAAAACAGGCCTACTTTTAGTAGTTACTAAAAATCAGATTGAAGGATTATCTTATTAAATCCTCACAAAACTCCACGAGGTAAGTATTATCACTTTACCCATTTTACAGGTGCAGAAACTGGGCTCAGAGTGGATAAGAAGCTTGCCTACAGTAAGGTAGGATTGCTGAAATTGAGACTTTAGCTCAACTAGTATAACTACCAAGCTAGTACATTTTACCTCGACTTTGAACTAGAAGTTCAAAGGCCTCTCTGAATGTAAGCACCTCCTCAGAGTGGACAGTATAAGGTCCATCCAGGAGCACCTGATGCAAATCCAGGTGCATACCTGGGCTTGAGACTATCATTGTGTTTTCCACTGTGGAAATGATAAACCAGCCATCTGTGAACCTTTCACATGCATATGTAAGATGCTTTACCATAGTAGGCAGTTCAAAGTAGAGTCAACAGTGAAAAAGAAAAGGAACAACCTCCATCTTGTAGGTTTGATTTAAGTGAAACAAAAACTTTATAAATAAATAAATACATCTCGAGCTATTTAGAATTTTCCCCTGGAGTTGAGCAATTATAATCTCTACATCTCTGGTACCCTTTCAAAGAAAGGAGAATTCATAAATCCAGAAAATGTAACTTGGTTAGGTCTTGCTACCACAGCGCTTTGAAAACAGCAGAGTATGATTTCCCAAATAAATTCCTAATTCTTACAAAACAGGACCCGACTTACAAGGCAGTCAGGACCCTCCCACTGTCATCACTAATGACATTTCTGGTCTCATTAGTTTAGTCAGAAGCTGTTTTAGGCTTATACCATGTTAGAGACAGTGTTCTTCGAGCTTTGGATGCAGGTGTAAACAAGTGAAAGCCAGCGTGCTTCCTGGAGCTTTTATCTATTAAGGGAGGATGGACAACCGATTAAGTAAACAGGCTATGTTTGGAGAGGGAAGAATTACAAAGTAAATGAAAGCACTGATAGGGAAAATGGTTTGACTTAGGCTGAATAATCGTCACGTACCCTAAATTATGCACATCCTAATACTAGGATCATGTAAGTGTGTTGTTACGTGTCAAGAAGAAATAATAATTGCAGATGGAATTAAGGTGTCCTTTCAGTAAACTTCATATGTATTATCTAGGTGGTTCAATGTATTCATAAAGGATCTTTAAATGTGAAAGCAGGAAATAGGACTGGTAGTGTCAGAATTAGCTGCTGCAAGACTCATCCCACTGTCCCCCACTGGCAAGATGGAGAAAGGAGGCCGCGCATCCAGAAATACAGGTGGCCACTACAAGCTGGAAAAGGGAAGGAAATGGATTCTCTCTAGAGCCTCAAGATAGAATCGAGACTCGACTGACAATTTGGAGTTGAGTTTAGTGAAACTTATGTCAGACTTCGGAGTTCCCGATAATAAGATTGCATTAATCCCCAAATTTGTAGTAATTTGTTAGAATGCCAAAGGGAAACTAGTGAGTCAGCATTCTCTAGAAAACAAAACTAATAAGATATGCAAATATCAAGACTTTTGAGACTCAGGAAAGCCGATGGTGTTCCAATGACTAGTAACATTAAAATAGCCAGTAGGCTTGAAACCCAAGAAAAACCAATGTTTTAGTCTGAAGGTGACAATGAAGACTAGTTTCCCAGCTTGAGGAAGTCAGGCAGCAGGAGTTCTCTTAGTAACAGGCTCCACCTTTTTGTTCTATTCAGGCCTTCAGCTGATTGGATAAGGTCCAATAGGGAAGGCAGTTGGCTCTACCTAGTCTACTGATTCAAATGTTATTCTGATTCATGAATACCTTCAGACACTGAACATGCTTAACCAAATATCTTAGCATCTTATGGCTCAATTAAGTTAACATAGAGGTTTAGTTATCACAGAAACCAATATCAAATCTTATTTAGGGAGATCAGCGATAGCCTTCATAACAGGAAGACAACAGAACAAAGACCTAAATGAGAGAGCCAAGTATATATCTGAAGACAAAACGCATTAATGGCAAAAAAAAAAAAAAAAAAAAAAAACAGCAAGTACAAAGTCCTTGGGTGGGGCTTGGAATACTAGAGAAACATCAAGGGCAGTGTGCTGGACTAGGTGTGGCTAAGGATGGTGAGAAAAAGAGCAGAGGATGAGACAGAAAGAGGGTGAGAAGGATAACTACGTAGAGCCCTTTAAGGATGCTCGTTTATCTCCTGGAAGATAGGAAATCCACAAGACAGCATTGAGAAAAGAAGTGATATGGTCAGATTTCTTTCTTGAAAAATAAAAATCACTACTAGGGAACAAGCTGTTTTGAGACAGCAGTAAAAGCAGGGAGGCTAGGAGATGATGGCGGCTTGCACCAGAGAGGTAGCAGTGGCAGTGAGGAGAAATAGTAGGATTCTGGCTCATTTTCTGAGGCGAAGGCCAAAAATGTATCTTAATGAAGAATGTAAAATTAACAGCTATCAGATAGTACCAGGGGTTCTAGCTTCAGCAACTATGCTAATGTTCTTTTGTGAAGGACAGCAAAAATTAAAATATGAGAACCTAACTGGAAAAATTGTAAAATACTCTAAATTTGAAAGATAGAGTTGTAAATTTGGAGAGATTTTTCATTATAATGGAAATTGGT